TAGATAGAGGCTGGCTGGTGCAAGCTGGTGCCACAGCACAACATAAGGTGCCAAGGTACAAGGGTGTAACCGACTTGACTCATCATGGTGTCAATTTTGCGGTGTCACTAGTGACCCCTGGTCACGTGGGTGTGAACTTGTGACGTCAGCATGCTTCCAAGGGGGTGAACCCACATACCCTAACCTGCCCAACTACATTTAACAAACCCTAACCCCCCGACGATGGGTAGTGCCTGCAACCGCCAATAGGGTTTAGGGTTTAGGGTTTAGGGTTTAAGGGTTTAGGGTGTAACCGCCAATAACCACTGTCCATCCATACAAGGGTTTGTAAACAGGAAACCCTAAACCCTAAACCCTGGCGAGGCCTCTGGTGGGCACCAGTCTGCAACGCCAGCACAAGGGACCGTTCAGCTTCCAACTGGTCCACGGTTGGTTGGTTCCCCTGACGGTGCTGCCAGCAACGCACGACTGGTGGAAGAAGGCTGAATGCGAGCAGAGGTTAGGGCAGGCCACTTACCACGTGGCAGGTGCCAAGCTGAAAAGCTGCCAGATGCTAAAGGTTCAGGGTTTAGGCGACGATGGGTATTGCCTGCAACCGCCAATAATCACTGTCCACCCATACAAGGGTTTGTGAACAGGAAGCCCTAAACCCTAAACCCTGGCGAGGCCTCTGGTGGGCACCAGCCTGCAACGCCAGCACAGGGGACCGTTCAGCTTCCAACTGTCCACAATTGGTTGGTTCCCCAGACGGTGCTGCCAGCAACGCACGACTGGTGGAAGAAGGCTGAATGCGAGCAGAGGTTAGGGCAGGCCAACTTACACGTGGCAGGTGCCAGGCTGAAAAGCTGCCAGATGCTAAAGGTTCAGGGTTTAGGCGACGATGGGTAGTGCCTGCAACCGCCAATAACCACTGTCCACCCATACAAGGGTTTTTGAACAATAAACCCAAACCCTTCACAACTGATTCGAATCCCCCAACACAAAACACGAAGCCCTAAACTTTAGCAAGTGAGTCAGTAGCAAAAGCAAGGCAGTCAGCAGCCAAGGGAAGGGTGCCCCGCTGGTGTCAGCTGATGCCGGCTGGAGCTACAGCATAATAGCAGGGGCTCAGTCTGAGGTCTGCACTTTACTCAGCTCATCGGCACTTGGGTGAGGACTTGTGACACCAGCATGCCTCTGAGGGGGCAGGCACCAACCCTGCCCTGCCCAAGTAGCCCTTGTAATGCTAGTGAGCTGGGGCCAGTCGTGTCCCGTCATACCACCGCCTTGCGACGGCACAAGCAAACGTGGGGTGGTCTTGGGGCAGCCCCACCTTCACCACGTGGTGTGGTCTTGGGGCAGCCCCACCTTGGATTGGGCAGGTCCCACAAACTCCCAACCTCTGCTAATGGAGCTGCGGGACGAGGAGGAATACCTGCAAGCTCAGAAAAATCCGCTGGCCGATGATATTTGTTGGGTGTGTATGCAGTGTAGGCTAGGCCGTGCGGTGAAGGTAGGAAAGCGCAGGCGGTCGAGTGCCCGCAGGTTAATGGTTCCAAAATCAGGACATGTAGCTGACGTCGTACAGCATGCGCGATGCAACGCCAGCCTTGGGCACCTGCTTCACACCACCTACAGCAAAGCAAGCCTCATACTCCGCACGGGTGCCACCACCCTACTTACTGGGCGGCCAGCGTAGCGCGGCTTGGCAGGCAGGGTTCGTAGGACCCAGCAGAGCACACAAGCTGCTGGAAGCACCTTCGGACACCACACAAATGCTGGCAAACACACAGCGCCACTTCAAACGGCATGCACACAGGTGCCCCCTCTGTAAATCCAAAGGTCAATCACAAGCAAGAACAACGGAAAGTGTGTACACTTTGGTCGCGGGGCCGCGCGTCACTGGTCACAGGATTGAATGCGTATCTTGTTGATCTTTCGTTGAGAAGAGCCCCAGCGGGATCGTGAAGCAGATCTCGCGTGTGCAATCTACACTCAATCACGCGGATTGCCAGCGGGACCGCGACTCTCATCATTGTTCGTTATGGCTGTCTGCAACAGCTCTGGATTTGCGAGGATTTGAACCTGTGCCTGCGGCAGGCGAGGTCGGTCCTCGGGCAGCAGCAGCAGCAGCAGCAGCAGCAACAGCAGCTGCAGCAGCACGACCACCCCAGCAGCAGCAGGGACACTGTTGGCCCCTTTGGAGACCTACTCTTCACGGGCACATTGCTTACTGACAGAAAAGCTAATATGGATGTCTCTATTCTTGGCAGCACAGTCGCGCGCTACCTGCCGCTCGGCACATGGCTCGGCCGGCCCCTGGACCTGCTGTACTCCAGGTGCATCACTACGTTGAATCTATGCCAAGAGCTCCCCGACACACGGGCGCACAGGCGTTTAGTCGAGCTGAAAAACAAGGAGGCAGCAGTCAGTATTCTTGCAGTTGCTCTGTGTTGTGACACCTGGTCTCTTTTCTGCGATGCTCGCAAGTGAGCTGGAGTGAGCAGCACTTTTGCCCGCTCCTGTCCGCAGGCTTGGTGGCCTGAACGGTTCGCTCTTCTTTCACAAGGGCTGGGGCGACCTAGGGTGCGTCAACCTGCGTGATGATTTGGAAGTCATTTCAACCTGGCCACCACCTCAGCCGCTGGGGTTGGAGTGGAGGCTGCTGGAGCGCAGCAGCTGGCGGGGCATCCCATTCCGCCACTTTGAGGGCACGTTCAGGTGTGACATTTGGACTAGCACTCACGTAGTCTGCCACAACACAGCCCGCCGGGGCAATAAACTTTGGATGACTAAGGACCTTGCTGCGGCATCTCTGCTGCGCGGCAGCTGCTGGGGCCAGCATTGGATGCGCATGCAGCAGGCAAGCCATGTCCATGCCAAGTGGTTGCCATCCAATTTCACTCCAGCAAATACAGCTCAAGCCAGCCAACGCTGCCGTCTCTCCACAATCCCACTCACAACGACTTCCAAAGAACACCTTGCGTTGAGCGTGTTTACAACGCGCTGCCGCCTGAGAGCCGCCAGGGCAGGGTGCAGCTGCTGATCCCAGACGGCTACAGCGCAGGTGTGCTGCACCTTGCGGCCACAGGCGATCAGGGCTGGGGCAGGCGCCTGCGGCTGGGCTGGCCCATGATGCAGCAGGTACGTTGGATGGAAGCACCAGGGATGCAATGCGGGTACACGTGCTGACGTGGCAGTTAAAGGGCCAATACAAGACGAATCAAGTGACCCCGTGTGTGTCGCGGATGCGCATCCCACTTTGCCCCACCAACATGTGCAGGGCGTGGCAACAATGGTGCTGGAGTCACCTTTCTACGGGGCGAGGTTGGCGATCTGAAACCCTGAGGAAGCATGTGTGATTACCTGTTTGCATCTTCTGGCCATAGGTGCAGGTTCATAGCTGATTTAATGGACGATTTGAAGTCCACGCAAGCGAAAGCCTGTCTCCAACCTTCCGCCTGCATCCTGTCCTCCCCAGGCGCCCTTGCGAACAGCGAGGCGCAAAGCTGCGGCATGTTTCTGACCTGCTGACTCTAGGGTGGGCAACCATCATCGAGAGCCTGTGAGTATGGCTGAAGGAGGGCCGGCTGCACCGCAGCTGCACTATCTAGCTGCCAGGGCACATGTGAAATTTTCATTGGTGCGTGGCGTAAACGGGAGGGGTACCACACGCACATCAGCAGCCCTCCATGTTTTCGGGCTCGGTTCAACCATCCCATCACAACCGCAACCCAGGCACCTGCTGTACTGGCTGGGGGAAGAGGGCTGCAGTGCCAAAGGTGCGTTTTTATTGTCAAGCTGCATCCGATGTTCCTGGTTCCTCGAAGGCTGATCGCACAGGTGCCTTTGTTTCAAAAGCTGTCCACCATACGCACCTGCTCACCTGTTGCCGACGCTGCCCCAATGTGGCAGGCGTGTGCGGACTGTCCATGGGCGGCGTGCATACGTGCATGACGGCAGGGCTCTACCCCCTGGACGATCTTTCCGTCGTGCCGCTGCTGGCCCCCAGGTCTGCCGCGGTCGCATACTGCGATGGTGCCATGCGGGTAAGGGGGCGCTTGCACCAGGGGGCAGCTTCAAGGCTGCGATGGGTTGCGGCTCTCAATTGCCTTCGGCGCCAGGCTTTTGTACGACGCCTGCATTATGGCTTATGTGCTTGTCTACCTGCGCTTGACCTCGGAACAAATCCTGCCCTTCCTCTGTGCCCTGCGCATGAATGTTTGACCCCCAACCTCCACCTCCCCGTACACGAACGCGGTTTATTTCTTGCAGCCGCTGATGGCATGGGAGGCCCTGGAGGTCAATGCGGAGCGCGTCGCCGCCATCGTGCAGTCGGCGGCGCAGGCCGTGTCGCACTTGCGGGAGGCCTCATATGCACTGGAGGCGCTGGAGGACGTGCGAGCGGCGCAGCAGCGGTCGTTAGCCAGCAGCGGCGAGGAACACGCAGACAAGCAGCAGCAGCAGCAGCAGCAGCAGCAGCTGCTGCGCGAGGGGCAAGCCGATGCTGCTCTGGGCGGGGTAAGGGAGGCACCAGGCAGCCAGAGTGCCTCTGCAAGTGCGCAGGCCGCATCGGACCGCGTCAAAGCGGCGCTGGTGGATCTGCTGCTGTCGCAGCGCCAAGGGCACCGAGAACAGCAGCGCGCATTTGACCACCTGCGCATGGTGCTGGAGACATACGTGAGTACCAATCCCCGTGTGGGATGCGCAGCAATTACACTTCTGTGATACCCACTCATCATAGGTTCAACTGACTCTTGCATCCATTCCTGCTCCTTCTGTACAGACCGATGTCAACCGGTACCCCAGGCCACGCAGGCCGGATGCCGCCGTTATTGTTGCAGCAGAAAGCGATGCCTACGTGAGCACAGAGTCCGTGCGGCAGCTACACCACTACTGGGAGGGCTCCGAGCTGCGGCTTGTCAGCGGCGGCCATGGTGAGAGCGACCACGGATGCAGAGCAGGACTGAGGACCTGCCATGGGCCACCTATGCGTTCTCACATGGGTTTAGGGTTTTAGGGATTAGGGTTTTAGGGTTTAGGGTTTAGGGTTTAAGTAACCCATCATTCAGCGCTTTTAGCTTTCCCATCTGCGTTACGCCCTCCGCGCAGTGAGCGCCTACCTTCTGCACCAGAGCAGCTTCAGGCAGGCTGTGCTCGACTCGCTACAGCGGCTAGGAACCCCAGGCCACCCGCAGCGATAATCTGGCGACCATTGCACCTGCAAATTGGTGCTTTCGCCATCTCTGTCTACCAGCATTGAGCAGGCACTTGCACCTATGCTGTTTTTGTTGCCTCCAACACCATATCCGGTGCCTTCAGAGCTGTCAGTGGGACACAACTACTGTTTGGAACTCCTTACAGATTTGCATTGCTATCGTTTCAAACGTGACAACACATTTTTGTAACATGTACATGAGCCCTCATGCGGCCCAAAGTGAGCGAAAAAGAAGTCGTCAAGCCTGCAAGCCTGGCTCTGCTGGCCAACAGCCAAAGCATGGAGCCCTGTAACCGCAGCTGAGCTCAGCTGCCCCAGTGAGATCAAAGCCGCCGAGCAGCTGCGTCCTGCTCCTCTTTGACACGGATGTTGTACTTGGCGCGCCGCAGGTCCACCCAGCCGTACAACCCGCCATCGATTTGTGCCGCGCGCTGTGCCTCAACGCCGCGCCACGCGGTGCCGTGCGGCAGCTCCTCGGCCGAGTGCTGCGAAGCGAGCCGCCGCACCTCCACAGCCACGGCGCGGATCTCGTCGCGCTCGTCGTCCGTCAGCTTGCGCACAAAGCGCGCGGGGTTGCCTGCCCACAGCTCCCCTGTGGGCACACGGCGCGCAGGGGGCAGCACGCTGCCAGGCGCCAGCACCGAATGTGACTCCATCATGCTGCCCTCCATCAGCACGCTGCGTGCACCCACAATGCAGTAGTCCTGGATGCGGCACGAGCGCAGCGTGCAGTTGGGTTCCACCGTCACAAACTTTCCAATCAGCGCCGCTGCAGTCAGGCCCGTCGGCGACGTCCTGCGCAATGTGGCGGCGGCAGGGAGGATCGAGGGGGTTGGGTGATGCCGGGTGTCCTCTGCATGCCTTCTCAGGCATTATCACCACCATCTCCCTTGCAGCACTACACCATCATCAACAGGCTAAACCTTGGGCAACAAAGTGCCTCTGACAAAATCCGTGGCACCGGTGGCGTCTGTGCCGCCTGCTGCGCACCTGGCTGCGTGGATGACAGTGCGGTCCTGGATGTTGGACACTTGGCCGATGGTGATATTGTTCAGGTCGCCGCGCAGCACCACATGGTTCCAGACACTTGCCTGTCAAAAAGTCGGCGCATGCGGGCGTGGTGCACATGAGCGGAAGGAGGCAAAGGGATGCTGCAGCGGGGACAAGCGCACATGAACGATGATGTAGGCGCGGCAACCAGCTGCCGTCCCCGCTGACGCCAATCAGGCGACTCACCCTTTCCAGCAAGTCCACGTCTCCCACAATTGTGGCGCTGGGGGAGATCCACACGCTCACGGCCGCGTCGGGGACCCGGTTCCCGAGGGGGATAGTCTGCCGCTGACGGTTGTACCACTCTTTAGATATGTCGATGCTGGTCGCAGCCGGAGGCACGATGGGAGTAGACGGAGGCGAAGAGAACGACCTCAGCAGCGATGGCAGAGCTGCTCCGGGGCTTGCACACGCCGCAGCCGCAAAAGCCAGGGCATTATTAGAGGTATATTGGCCATGATGCAGCAGCCTCAGCAGTCCCGCTGCCCGCGAGGGCTGCATGTTGCAACCAGATCAAGGATGGAGGATCTATTGCTCCTGATATTATAGTGTTGCAAGAGGCACGCGTTAAACAGGTTGTGTACTGTAGTCTGCGACGCGGACGACCTCGCTGAGCTTCTGCGAGTCTGTTTTGTTGAGCGCAAGGTCCTGGCGAGTGTCCCGGCAGTGTTGGTCGGCCGGGCGTGCAGTGCGGTGGGGTGGCGAGACCATGTGTGACTGCCCAGGCTACAGTTGACCACGACTCCAGCAGCGGCCACCCGGGTGTACGTTTGCCATTCACTTGAAGCACACGCGTCAGTCAATGAGGCAAGTCGCGCAGCGATCGTCCATACTCCCAACCGTTCTGCATCGCTGCGACATGCCAGCGGATTGTCGCTTGCAGGTGAGCTTCAAGTACTTATCAGCCTCTCACCCTTCCATCTGGAGCAACTGTGAAATGATTCCGGTAGTCGGCGTGCACAGCTAATTGCATGGCGTGATGCTGGTCTGCAGCTGGCGCATCTGAAGCAGCAGCCAACCAGATTGAATGGGCACGGCTGTAGACCAGGCAGGCCAGCCCCTGCCTCACCCGCCACACTGTACCTGAGGCGACTGTCCCGCCTGCCACCTGCGACCCCCACGCCCCAGTACTGCTCAACCTGTGCCAAGTGTTTGAATCAACACCTCATGGAACAGCCTGGACCCCTGTGGAAACCCCACATAATATTCCAGATTCAGTGCACAGCAGCCGGCGACTGGCAGCCCAAGCCTGCGTTTGTAAGCACTGACGATGCACGGTACGCTGCGCTAGCCGGCGTGCTGCCACGAGGATTTGAGCAGCATGCAGGGCTGATGTGCGTCTTTTTGGTTCGACCTCCCAGCGAGCAGCTTGACCACCAGGCTGTTGGTTGACAATATATCCTTCGCTCGCATACATCAGTATAGTGGTCCCTATTAGCGTTGACACCCCGAGGCATCAACAAAAAGCACTCCGCATCACCCCTGGCCTCGATCTCTTGCAGGCGGCCATGAGCGATGGAGCCTATCAAGGGCATACCTTCGATGAGCTGTGTCTGTATCACGACTTCTAAGGACAGTACAGCAGCAAACATCGGACACTTGCAACACACAAACAAAGGGGAGGCAGGTGGGCGGGCGGTGAACTGTGCCAGGGCAGCACACGAGCCGCCCCCCAAAGCCACCAACGTTGCCTCATGGCACCCCTTTCGCTCAGCGGTTGAACTTCGATTACATCACTTTCCTTTGCAATCATGCGCGTGGTCGCCGCTGTGCTGCTGGTGAGCTGGTTTGGTGCTCGGTGCCCTGTCTCCCGGCTTGGCTGTTCGTGGAGTAACTAGAATAACCATGTAGTGTATGCGTGGCCGGTTCATCTAGCAGAAGCTTCGGGCTTTCACACTAGCCCATGGCCGCCAAAGGGAGTGCAGTCGCCACGGGGTTGTGGACAGCAGCTGAAACTAGGATGGAGTGTAGACGAATTAAAGAGCGTGTGGGCCCTGTGTACGGCGTGGAACAGGATCGTGGAAAGTGGGGAGCGGTCGCTGCGCTGCGCTGCAGCAGGCACTGCAAGTGTGGCCAGGTTGGTATTGCCTCGCCCTTCTTTCCATCTCATCGCATGCCTGCTCCTTTCCTCGCTTCCTTGCGCCATGCCCTAGGCTGCTCTGGGTGGGAACGCCAACCCTGGCGCTGATGACGTGAAGAAGATCCTGGGCGCTGGTGAGTTGAAGCGGTCGTTGCGCTGTGCCGTCTGTCTGCATCGCCCCTGCCCCCTTCCCCCTCCTCCCCCTGTGGCTCACGCGGCCTCGCCACGTGGACCCACTCCCTGAGCAGTGGGTGTTGAGGCCGATGCCGACAGCGTGTCGCGGCTGCTGAAGGAGCTGGAGGGCAAGGACCTCGCGGAGCTGGTGGCGGCCGGTCGCGAGAAGCTTCAGTCTGTGCCCTCTGGGGCCGCCGCGGCTGCTGCGCCCGCCGCTGGCGGTGCTGCCCCCGCGGCCAAGAAGGAGGAGGCCAAGAAGGAGGAGCCCTCCGAGGAGGACGAGGTGAGTGGTTGGGTGTTGTGGGGTATTTGTTTCGTTGCAGGGCAGGGATGGGTTGTCGGTGCCTATGCTGGGGGGACTCTACGAGCTCTACAAAATGACTAGCGGCGTCACGGGATAGATGGAGAACAACCCACGCACGCATTGCTCAGTATGCTTGACACCGCCCATGCTCCCTTTCTGTGCCTGTTCTGCAGGACATGGGCTTCTCCCTCTTTGATTGAGCGGGGAAACGGATGCGCCGTACTAGACTGCATTGCAAGGAACACCTGCGCACGCATGGCAACCATGCCGATTGTGCAGGCACTTTCCATGTAACAGCTTGTTGAACACACAACTCAGTTGACAGTGCAGGGATGCAAGCTAGTGTGATATGCATACAGCGCACATGCGTCATGTGTGCCTTGTTGCAGAAAGAATAAGCTTCTCCCTCACGTTGGGATCAGCATAAGGATCGTTACAGCATGATGCGGTCGTCGGCTTCTGGAGCTATCCAGCTTGCAGCATTGGACTTTCAAGCAGCAGCATTATGTGACTAAGATTCAGGTTGCGACCGTCCGCGGGATGCAAAGCAGGCGTGTGTGAAGGCTCTGGGAGCGTGCTGGTATGCGCTGCACAGACAAGCGCACATGGGGGCTTGTACGGGCAGGATTGCAGATAAGAGCGCAAAGCGCGGCTCCAGACGCACGTCCGCGTGTGCAGGACAATCAAGCCAAGGATGTGCAGCTGTTTCATCAAGGCCCAGACCGTCGCATCCGGGCATCGGGTGGGGTGGTGTGATGCAGGGTGTGCGCCGAGAAGGGAGAAGAGCAGCAGCGTAGGCGCAGGAATGTTGGTGATTTCAAATTTGAGACCCATGGAGAAAGTAGTAGGGCATGCACGATGAAAAGCCGGCCTCGGACACCTCACCCGCAACACCTGTGGCAACGCAAGCCTCATACTCTGTGCCAGACCTTCCACTCCGCTGGGCGCCCAGCGTGACCCGGTTTGCCAGCACATGGTCTTATGTACATGTTAGGGATGGCTCACAACATCAGAGTAGAAACAGTCGGTTGAAGGAAAGGCAGGGCAACAAGTTAATGCTGCCACAACACAATGTGCAACAGGATAACAACATAATTGGCATCTCGGATGGTCATCTCATCATCATTGGAACATCATCATCATCATTGGAACATCTGCATGTGGGAAAGCGTCTGCTCCAGCATTGCAGCTGCAGAGGTCACAGCATCTGATCAGAGAAGCGCCACCACGTTCGAGCCCGTCGCAGTCACGAGCTGACCCAAGTCATGAGCGGTTGAATGGCGAGCCCCCCTTGCTGGCACCAGCGGGACTGGATGCAGCTGGCACCGTGACCTGCAGGGCGCTCAGCCCTGGGAGCTGCGGCCTCCCAGGGGCCGCCCCCCACCGCGGCGAAGCTGCTGGAGATACAGGGCCCCTGCTGGCGCCCGCTGCTCCGGCCGAGTGTGCCGCGGCCACCGTCACAACCAGAAGGCTGGGCTCCTTGCGCCGTGTAGCTGCAGCAGCGGCAGATGGTGAGGAGGGCGCAGCGAAAGGAAAAGAGTTGAACGGCGTGTTACTGCCGCTTCCACCAAGGCCAGTGGCGGGGGCAAGGCCCTCATAGGCCAGCGGCCTCGCATCCATGTTGCTGACAGGGCGCGTGCTGCCTGCAAGTGCCAGCAGCAGTTCGTTGACCATGTGCTGGGTGTTGGCCAGGGGCAGGCTGTTGGGGTCGTTCCAAAAAGGGTCCTCGATCTCACGAGCCACCTGCACACATGGGCGAGGGCCGTCCGCTTTTCATTGCAAAACATGTCTGCAGCCTCTGTGTAGTCAATTTGAACCTTAGGGTGCGGCATACGCACACAACACAAAAGATAACCATGTGCGCACACGCGTATGCATGCAGCGTGCATATTGTGCGCACTCGCAACACCGTACCTCAGATGACCCCCAGTATGTTCCCACAGTGATGCTGGTGAGGAAGACAGCCTGGTGGCAGGCGGGCAGGCAGCTCAAGTTGGAGTGGTGAGCGAGGAGGGTGGGGCAGGGAAGAGGCGCATGAGGGTGTGTTGCGGTGCGCTTGGCCGCCACCACTTGCAGCACCGGGAGACGGGAGCA